GTAATACATGGAATTGCTGGGAGGATTAATGAGATAATTTATATAAAAGGATTAGACCACTACCTTGCCCATACTAAATGCTCAGGAAGTTTTAGTTTTTCACTTTCTCTTTCTTAACTTTCTGTATTGGCTGAAATTTTTTATTTTTTATTTTTTTAAGATTTTATTTATTTATTTGACACAGAGAGAGAGACACAGAGAGAGAGGGAACGCACGCAGGGGGAGTGGGAGACGGAGAAGCAGGCTTCCCGCCGAGCAGGGAGCCCGATGCAGGGCTCGATCCCAGGACCCTGGGATCATGACCTGAGCCGAAGGCAGACGCTTAACGACTGAGCCACCCAGGCGCCCCTGGCTGAAATTTTTTAGATGAGTTGAATTTTATAATCATAAATAAGCCTTTATTTTTTTAAAGTTCTTTATAGCTCCCCCCACCCCAGTGGTTTCACTCTTCAGAGACTATGGCATCTGAATGAATGCCATTTTTAAAGGTAATGAAATCTCAGGCCCCTATAGTTCTGAAGGAAAGTGTCATTCCAGTTTCACAGATGGGTATGAGTCAGCCAACTTGGAACCAGTTGAACACCACATGGGAACTCCAGAGGAGAAATTTGGGAATTTGAGTAACTTAGCTTAGGAAGACAAATACTTGAATAAGTAATTGCAAGAAAACATTTTCTTTGAACTATTGTCAGAGAGTTTGTGAATTGGTATGACATTTTTGGAAAGTAATCCACCATTACTAACCTTTTGATATATCTGTTGACCTAGCAATTCTCACACAGGAATCTACCATATAGAAATGGGGGTACCAATAAATGAGAGAGATGTACAAAAATATCTATTGTGGCATCATTTGTAGTTGAAACAACCTCAATATCCATCACAAAGAAAATGGTTGACTAACTTATGGCAGATCCATACTGTGGATTTTTACACAACCAGTGAGTAAATTAGACCTATGTCTAATAGGAGGGATAGGTTATTAAGTGACAAAGGAAAATTGCAGAGCAATAGGTGTGCTACGATTTCATTTTTGTTAAAAAAAAAGCTTTGTATGTATATATTTGTATCTGCATGGAGAAATGTGTAGAAGGATGTATATATGGCTATTAACATAGATTACCTCAGGGCCATGGCAGCTATATGTCTATACAGTTTGACTTGTTAAAATGAGCATCTATTGATTTTGTAGTTTCAAATATATATATAATAATGTAGAGGAGGTGTTTTGTTTGGAAATTAATCTGAGGGTCAAGATTGGAAAAAGATCACCCAGCTGCTTTAAATGAATCCTGGTACCCAGATCCTGAATCACAGTCTTGCTTTAGAAAGACCTTGTAGGGTAACTGAGCTCTTTGTTCGGGGATCACTGAATAATCCCAAAGAAAAGAAGTTAGAAGATGGTAGGTAGATACATTTGCTCCAGTGACCAAAAAGAGGGAAAGCAGAGATTCCTAGGAAGCTTGGTATGTTATCAGCAAAGTCCAGGAACAAATCACTAACATCACTTGTATATATTTAGGAAATGAAGTAGCAATTAGTAGGAGAGCATACATGGGCTCCTGGGAATTAAGTCATGCTAAAACCCAATTAATCATATTATTTCTCTTTTCTCTCTCTCTCCCTCAAATCAGGGGATCATTGTCGATATAAAGTACTGAAACTTTTCTTATAATATGTAAGTAGTCAAGATAAACATGAGTTAGAAATATATGTGAAGGGTGAGCCCCAGGGTATTGATTAATCTTAAGGAAGCTTCTAGAGGTAGGTCAGAGGTAGGGCTTTCAAGTTCTTGGCTATAGATATAAAAACTGCAGTCTATAAAAATGTCATATATAAATGTGCATATATATATAAATATATATATTTATCTGTATATATATATTTATTCTTACGATAAATATATAAAAATCACATGAAGCTTGGAGGGAGAACTAAATGTTCTTAAGGATAAAATCAGGATGGGGTGCCTGGGTGGCTCAATTGTTAAGCGTCTGCCTTCAGCTCAGGTCATGATCCCAGGGTCCTGGGATCGAGCACTGCATCGGGCTCCCTGCTTGGCTGGAAGCCTGCTTCTCCCTCTCCCACTCCCCCTGCTTCTCTTGTTGTGTCTCTCTGTCAAATACATAAATAAAATCTTTAATAAAAAAAAGGATAACTTTCCGTGCCGATAGCGCTCTCGCAAACATGGTGAACGTTCCTAAAACCCGCCGGACTTTCTGCAAGAAGTGTGGCAAGCACCAGCCCCACAAAGTGACACAGTACAAGAAGGGCAAAGATTCTCTTTATGCCCAGGGAAAGCGGCGTTATGACAGGAAGCAGAGTGGCTATGGCGGGCAGACTAAGCCGATTTTCCGGAAAAAGGCTAAAACTACAAAGAAGATTGTGCTGAGGCTTGAATGTGTTGAGCCCAATTGCAGATCTAAGAGAATGCTGGCTATTAAGAGATGCAAGCATTTTGAACTGGGAGGAGATAAGAAGAGAAAGGGCCAAGTGATCCAGTTCTAAGCTTCATATTTTGTTAATATTACGAAGACAATAAAATCATGAGGTTATGTTCACTTCAAAAAAAAAAAAAGGATAAAATCAGGATATAAGAAATTCCTGACAGGGAATTTTTTTTTTTTTTTCCCAGAAGGCATGGCCTTGTTCCCGAACCTCAGGGACTTATGTTGTGATTTTTTCAATGGGGTTTGCCACAAACTTCACACAGAATATTTTCCTACCACTGATAACACCAGGGGATCCACTGAGTCATGTGACTCAAACAGGAGGGCTGCTTGCATTGCAGTCTGGACTGGCTGCAGAGTCCTTTCCTGTTTTACAGCTCTCAGATCCAGCCACTGTTATCCCTCTGGAAATGGGCCATCAGCGTATTGCTAGCTGTAGAACATGATGCCTCCAGAACCCAGAGACACCCACCTGGCACTGGGCATCCATTTTCATTGTAGTTGGTGAAAGATGTAATAGTTTGTCTTTCTCTTTGGAGGGGATGTCCAGCATGCCTCTGACCACGGGACCATAAATTTTTTTAAAATTTTAATTCCAGTATAGTTAACAGACAGTGTTATATTGGTTTCAGTGTACAATATAGTGATTCAGCAATTCTGTATATTACTCAGGGCTCATCAAATTAAGTGTACTCTTAATCCCCTTCACCTGTTTCACCCCCCCCCCCCCCCCCCCCCCCCCCCCACCCCCCCGTTTTTTTTCTGTAGTTAAGTCTGGAGAGAAAAAAAAAAAAGAAATTCCTGACAGGTTGGAGATACTACAACAATAATATGGAATGGAATTGGGTTGTATGAAAAGTTCATTCAGGTTCAAAAAATCAACTCCACAAGAAAGCAAGCAAGCTGGATGCAGTAAGAATATAGACTCTTTAAAAATATAAAATAAGAATATAGACTATAAAAATATAGACTCTACAGTTTCCCTGAAGTGACTCTTGGGCTGAATTACTGGAGGACTACTATGAGGAACATGTGAAAATATACTCCTGGTATATATTCTGTGGGAGGAAGGCCTCCAATATCGAGCCCAGTTCTGGGACCATGGCACAAACTGAGCATACTTAGGGTAGAGTGACCAGAGAAGAGAAGGGTCTGGAAACCACGTTTGTAGTGCCACATAAGGGCACAGGCTGACTATTGAAGTGAGTTACTTCTGTAATAGTCTCTGTTCATGAGAAGATCTTCAAAGAGGTTGTGAACAACGTGGGTGTGGAAGGGAGACCCACGCTCTTGCCTTGGCATCAAGCAGAATTCCATGTTACCTCTCCCTTTTTTTTGAACTCCACACATGCCCCACCTACGTAAAGCTGGGTTTCCCAAAGTGTGGGCTGCTGGGCAAGATGGTTTAAGGTAGCACATAGACCCAGCTTTAAATAACATTAAATCTCATGGTGAGATTGCTATTTCTGTTTTCATTTTCTTTCAATTCACTGATTACATACAGAAGAAAGTCTCTGACTGTTAATACGGTTTTGACATCTCTCTCGTATTTGCTGATCTTCCCTTTTTAATAAGGAAAAGACAGGCCCGGAGCGTAGAGCCCTCAGCAAGCCACAGTATCTTGTTGGAATTTTGAACATTATGTTCTCATTGTACTAAGTTGTGATAAGGGAAACTGGTTGTTTAAGGTGATGATCTAAAGTTTCCCATGGGGAGGAAAATCAAATGTGGGAGAGTCTAACGGCACTTGAAAGTAAGAAGCTATTAGCAAAGCAACACAGGGGTGTGTCCAAAAGCAAAACTGAAGGTAGGAGGACAGGGTAAAACAGGTCAGGTCAGTGTACCACCAGTCAGGATCCCGTAACGTAATTTTGATCACAGAAGCATAATTGGCACACACCGCGAAGCGGTAAGCAGTAGGAAAAGCCAAGGAAGCACTATGTGCTAAGCAGTGTCTCCCAGGATGGCAGATGAGCTACAGGAAGCGCAGCCTGAACCCAGCTCTGGGTAAGCCCATGTCCAGGCAGGTTCTTGCCCAGCTCCTGGGTGGAGGAAGGGAGGGAGTAAAGAAAGGAAAGAGAGGCTTTGGATTTTGAAAAATAAAAATGAACTCCAAACCTGCATATTGGGGTAAGTTTCTTCAGACATGTTATTGGTCCTCCTGACTGTGGTGCAGAAAATAAAGCAGGTATTTCAGTATTCACAGCGTGTCCCCTGTCCTCTTGCTGCATTTCTGCAGCCCAAAGGCCCAAGCTCTCTGGTCTGGTGAGCTGGGTGACGGCTCAAGTGACACAGTTGCAGCCTGTGGCTTACATCATTTTCCTGCCTTTACTGGCAAGCAGGAATCAGCAAATCAGCAGTTTCTTTCAAAGCACATTTTAAAAAGTCTTGAACAGGGATGCCTGGGTGGCTCAGTCGTTAAGCATCTGCCTTCAGCTCAGGTCATGAACTCTGAGTCCTGGGATCGAGCCCCACATCGGGCTCCCTGCTCAGTGGGAAGCTGTCTCTCTCTCTGTCAAATAAATAAAATCTTAAAAAAAAAAAGTCTTGAACAGATATTTGCACGCCTATGTTCACAGCAGCATTATTCACAATGGCCAAAAGCTGGAGTAATCCAAGTGTCCACGGATGGATGAATCAATAACCAAAATGTGGAATATACATACAATGGAATATTATTCACCCTTGAAAAGGAAAGGAAATTCTGACACATGCTATAACATGGGCGAACCTTGAAAACATTATGCGAAGTGAAATAAGCCAGATACAAAAGGGCAAATACTGTATGATTGTATGAGGTATTCTAGAAGGGTAGAAATCATAGAGACGGAAAGCAGAATAGTGATTACCTGGGGCAGCGGGGCGAGGCAATGAACAACTGTTCAATGGGGAAAGAGTTTCAGTTAGGGAAGATGAAGAAGGTCTGGAGATGCAAAGTGGTTAATGGTTGTACAACAGGATGGATGTACTTAAGACTACTGAACTGTACACTTAAAAATGATTAAAATGATGCTTTAAAGGGTTAAAGAAAACGATTAAGTCTGGAAGAATCCAGGAAGCACCTGGCTGCGGAGAGAGCGGGGAAGGGGTATGCCAGATCTCTGTTCCTCAGCCCCACCCCAGCCCCTCTCCACCCTTCCCTGTCCTGCTATACGCCCTGGCTCACATCAGCATGCCTCTCGCCTTCTGGTTTCTGGTTGGAGTCATTCAGTGGGGAGCACGAGCAGGAGATGAGGGCAGAGAGAAGAGCGAGGTCACAGAATCCATTTCCCTGGCCTCCTCCCTGCAGGATTGCTGCCCGGTGACCGTGTCCTTTGTCTGAAGGTCTGGCAGCCCCTCTCAGTCTCGGGGTTCTGGTGCTCTTGCCTCTTCAGACCGAGCGCAGTAGCGGTTGCCACGGTCCCTGGCCCCGGAGAACCGCACTATCCCTTTTGGTCTTCCCACTTCCTACTAACACCTCTGTCAATAGTCTTTTTATTAAATTCTCCACAAATTACCCATTTTGAGCACATCATCTGTTTCTTGCTGGACTATGGCTGATGTGAGGTAACTTACAACAAAGTTGGGGAAACACTGATGCAAAGAAGATCCACTTCTATCCCCAAAAGATCTCTCTGATCCCCAAAACCTTCCAGATATCCAGAGGAGGCAATGGTAAGGGGTCTTCCATCTTCCTCCCTGCTCTCCATCCCCTCTCTTGTTCCAAGAACTTCTTTTCAATTGCTATTTTAGTACAGAGAATTCAGCATCCATTGTTTTCTCCAATCCTATAGACAATCACATTTTTGTACATAACAGAATTCCATTCCAATAAAACAAATCATTCAGATATTCCATGGTGTTTTATTATTTTTTTTTTAAAAAGCATTTTTCCTGTGAATGTTTCTATTGAATCCTAGATACAGATGTTCAAGGATATGGGGCAACTGCAGTTAAATATGAATAGAAAAGCTGAAATGGTATTTTTGTAAGGCAGTTCACATTGGTAATAGAGACAAAGCTCCATTAGATGAGCTATCTCTCCCCTCTAAAGTGGCTAACTATGAGGGAAATAATCAAGAGTTTTGCCTTCCTTCTAGTAGTAATGGCCTAGAATAAGTTGAACATAGCTGCCCAACCTCCTCTGAAATCCAGGGAGATGTATCCTGTCCAGGCTTACACTATTACACACGTTATTTTCAGGTCAAAAGAAACAGTCACACTTGCTTGTAAGGTCAATGGCTCAGGTAAGCAGACCATCTCTTTGCTGCAAAAGAAGAGCAAAAAGAAGGTATATGCTCAGGACAGGTTCCTGATTGGTCAGGAGAGAGGGCTAAGAGTTGTGTGCTCTTGTGGTTCCATGGTGTTAGGTGGAAGAAGTCTACAATCGTCCATTATAGGAGTTTACTACTCCTGCCCTCCATGTGCCCAGAGGGGTAAGACTAGTATAAATCCCTGCTAGAGGTACAGGTGGATCCTCACCTGTGAATGTGACCAGGCTGTGCAATTAGAAATCTTTATTCCAATAAAATCATATGTAGATACTAAATAAGACATATATAAAACAGATTCTATATTTATATATAAAATTATCCAGCTATATAACAGATAAAATGAAGTTTCTTATATTTAAGTGGGAATGGGAAATTGAAAGTGGTAATTGTTGTACAACAGGATGGATGTACTTAAGACTACTGAATTATACACTTGAAAATAATTTAAATGATTTTTTTAAAGAGTTAAAGAAAACAATTAAGTCTGGAAGAATCCAGGGAGTACCTGGCTGTGGAGAAAGTGGTGGAGGTGTATGCCAGATCTCTCTGTTCCTCACCCACACCCCAGCTATTTTCCACCCTCTTTGGCTTTCTAATACCTCCAACCCAAGATGGCACCACAGGAAACTCAAGAAAACCCTGGGTCTTTGTCATCTCTTCATTGAGGAAGCTCACCACTGTGATGAGATTGCACCTCAGCAAATGTCCCATCTAAGGTCAGGATTGGTCCTTGTGGGTGTATCGGGGTTGGGTGGAGTGGGGTGGAGTAGGGTGGATTTTGGGCTTACTTGTCATTGACTGGCAAAGGAGCAGTGCAGAACTTCCCAACAATGGTGGTCCGGTCTTTTCTCCAAACTCGGTGGGAAGAGTGAAACTTGAGTTTCACTTGGTTTATCTGGCACTGAGGGTTGGTGTGAGCTATGACTCCTTTCCCCTGGAGTTCCTGTCTAGGTCTGCAAGGGAAAGAGAAATTAATTTACCCAAGCACATTTGGCCTTTGCTTCCCCCTTGGCTCCTACAGGGCCCTGCTGGCAGTGTTGGTTAGCTGTCACGCACAAAAGAACTCCTTGAAGGTGGGGACCACGATCCTTTGTATCACACTCATCAGCCCCTCTGTGCACATACTCACAGCTTTAAACATGGTTCAGAAAATAATTGTTGATTTTTGAAAGCAAACAAGTGGACATGGCAGCAAAATAGTAGCTCTTGGATTTTCATATCTGGGAAAAATGTCTGTGTTTCTTAGATTCCTAACTGGAGAAGATCTTCACTTTCAGGTCTACCTACTGGAAGTACAGGCCTCTTTTAGGGCATTCAGTTCCATAAATTTTGTGTAGACTACTGTATTTTAGACTGAGTATGAATGTGTGGATGGGGAAAAAACAAACAAACAAAAAAGGGATCTTGAAACCAGACAGAACTGGTGTGGTACCCAGGTTTCGTCTCTTCCCAACTATGTGGCTTTGGAGTCACACGCCCTAGGTCTAATCTCCAGCTCTCCCACGTGCTAGCCATGAGCCTGACCCACAGGGCTTGGTACGTCTTGACTGCACCCTAAGTGACCCAGAGTGAAAGCAGAGTCCAGGTCTCTCTTGGCCCAAGATGGAAGGAGGAGTATGAAATGACCAATCTAGTTGACAAAAGCAAGATTCAGGTGTGGAGCAAGGAGGCTTGCTGGGATTTCGCCAAGCTGGGCAAAGCCCTGGGGAGCAGGGAAGGCACTTGCCTCCTGTGCCCTGCCCGGGGCCTCTCCAGGCTCAGAAGCAGTGGGGCCTGGAGAAAAAGGAGGAGAGCAGGGGGATGGGGCTTTCGCCTTTGTGCATGGGCGTTGGTTATCATCAAAGAGGGGGCGCATGGCTCAACCACATGGTTTTCCTTTCCTTTCTGGCCTCTGTGGAGTGATAAAAATGTCTTCTTTGTGTACTTTTTAACCCAAGGTTAGTCATATCGTTTGTTTTTTTCTTTTGTGGAAGATTCTATATGACTTTAAAAGCTGTTCCTCATTTGTTTTTGTTTTTTAATTTTAGAAGTATTTTGAAATATATCAGAGGGGGGAAAAAGATTTTTCCTTTTAAGAAGCTGAATGGATAGAAGAGCTTGCAAACTAGCAGGGTATGAAGGATGCTGTGAGTGACCTTGAAGAGGAAAATTACCTAGAGCAGGCCCAGGCCCACAGGCCCCAGTAGATAGAAAGTTACTAGCTCTGTTGGTAGAGCAAGAGATAACCAGCCATTTCTGCTTCTGTCAACAGGCTTCCCACCACAGCCTTCCTGCACTGCTGTTCCCGCCTAAAGCAGCCCCCACTCCCCCACCTTAAACCCACCTACCAGCAGCCAGCACAGCCCTTGGAACCTGACCCCCTGCACTCCCCTATAAAACACTCTATAACTCCGCTGCCCCAGGCTCCAAATTTCGAGTGCAAGCTCGTCTGGGTCCGTACGCATAAAATAAACCTGAGTTCTCCTACTTCTCTGAGCGTCACTTGGTTTCTCACCTGTCTGATTTTTATTTTTCTGCAACAACCTAAGGACTTGGTTTGGGTAAATTTTCTAATTAGAAGGAAATCTTGGGGTTTCGCAAAGCTATAGAATGTAAGGAAAGACCACACATAAACCCCCCTCCTTTTTTTCAATTTCTATTCTGCAAAAAGGAAAAAAAAAAAAACAAGGAATTGAAGATAACCACGTTCTGAATCTTCCACAAACGATTAAAACGCAAACAGCTTTTGGGAGAAGGAAGAAAGAATCTGTGGATGTCCATTCCAATCACTCAGGGAGCTTTGAAAGGTGTAGTGGTTGAGGTTATGCCCAGAGACTCTGCTGTTAATTGGCCTGGGGTGGGGTTTGGGGGGGGTGTCATTGGTGGTTAACGCTCTCCAGGTGATTTTAATCAGCAGCTAGTTGCGTGTCATTATCTTGACTCCAGCCAGTGTTAGCTCATCTACCAAAACACAGAGAGGGATGAAGACACCTGATGGAAATAACATGACCTCGAACTGATCTAATGAAAATTATTCAGCTATAATCTGCAAGACTCACATGGGCACCTGAAGATCTGTGTTGGGATCCTGACTGCCTGCCATCCCTCTCTCTCTGTGGCCTGTGTCAGCTGGAGTCCTGGGTGGTGGCAGGGTGTTTGGGAGTCCAGAAGTGTGCTTCTCTCAGCAGAAATTTGTCTTCCTTGATAGTATAATTAATGTCTAACGCTGCAGCCTCCAGAGGGCCTTTAGGGTTCCTCTTTTATAGAAAGCTAACCAGGGAACTTAAATCCTTTTAACATCTCTATTGATAACACCTTCAATGGCTTACTTCCTTTTTTGGGGCTGGTTATTCTTTGTTGGTCACAGATGATTATCATAAAGACACCCCCCCCATCCCCCACAAGCCTAGGGCAGGGTGGTGACCCATTACCAGTTGTTTTTTAAAGAGACAAGCACCCCTGCTGCTGAGTTCCTCTCCCTTGCCAGGCTTGAACCTCCCTATAGTTGTTCTCTGTCTTCCCACCTCAAGCCTGGTCCTGCCAGCTGCTAGACCCAAATGTGACTCCACAAGGGAAGGAAATGCTCAGCCTGGTTCTAGGGATTAGCACCAGATGGCCTCAAGCCGTGCTGGCCTCCCCTTGTACTCATTTGCTAACTGACCCTCTGTCCGTGATTCAGTTCTAGTCACTCACCCAGTACCACCCCCACTTTCCAGGAGTGGGTGCTCCCCAGGCTCTGGTCAGCACTCCCTGGGCTGGTGGCTGAGGTCCTCCTACTTGCTGACATCCCTGATGCCCCCTTCCTGGATTCCTGACTAATGTTTCCTATCAGGGACCCAATTCTCATGTTCTCACCACCCGTTGAGACATCCCATTACTTCTGCTCGCCCGCCTCCTCTGCAATTGCCTAAATACACTATCCTTGGATCCACTACTGATCATGAACCTGGGACAGTGGCCCAGCATGTGTCTGTGGGTGCATCCGTCGGAGGTACTGCCCTCACCCCCACCTCCAGCCCAGTGGGCTCGGGCCACCTCTCAGTGAGCACACAGTGCCTGTCGTGGGAGATGTGTGTGCGTGTGATGCGGGACACTTACGTACATGGTGATCTTGACCAAAGAAGTAACATTGCTGCTAAGGAAGGTGACGGAGATGAGGGTGTCCTTGTTTCTTGGCTCCTGCAAGTAAAACTCCACGAGGCTGTGATGCACTGGGAAACCAAAACAGAGCAGACGCCTGGGCCAGAGGTCAGTGGTGCAAAACGCACCCAAAGCCCCAGAGAGCCGCAGGGCAGGAATGTGAGCCCTGCCTCTTAGCAACAGATTACCTGCCATCCCAGATCCTTAGCTTCCTCATTGTAAATTGGGGGAAATAAAAATAGGTCTGAATGAGAGTTAAATGAGTTAATACCTACAAAGTCCTTAGTGCCTGTGGCTAGGAAGCATTCAATACCTGTTAGTTTTTGTTATTACTTGAAATGCTAGAATGTCCCACTCCCCCCTGCTTTATGACATTATCTTGGTGGTGTGATTTTTAAAGAACTGAAAAGGATGTCTCATATACTAAATAAGTAACTCATAAAATGTAGCAATCCCCCTCTGCTCCTCCCCATACACACAGTTTCAGGAAGCCCACTTGTGTGTAGGAGATGACCGTTTTCCCACTCTGGCAGCCTGGGTGCCTCTAGGACGTCTCCACCCTCCCAGGCAGCATGGATCCTGAGGCTTTCAAAGCTGGTGTCATTGACACAGACTGTATGAGGAGCCCAGCTTATGGTGATACCCCCGGGACCTGCTATCTCTCTGGCAAGAGAAGTTAAGAAGAATTACAGCTTCTCTAACATCCTGTCCTTTCCTTATTAAGGGGGAGGCCCAGTTGGCTGCATTTTGCAGTATCTTCGGTCTTGGGGCGTTTTCACAGACCTCTCTGGTGCTCTGGACATAGCCGGAGAGGCAATCCCTCAGCTCTGCTCTACTTGTACTTTTTCATTTGTCATGTTTAACAGGCAGTTATTGGAGGGACATCAAGTGGATTTAGGGAGACTTGGCACTAAGCTGGAGGATTGCTGTGATCCATCTGGGCTCATGGGGCTGGTAACAAGACTCATTGACAGGTGCTAAGAAGCCAGGAACCCACAGGAAAGAAAGAAAGCACCGTATGTTTCTCCTCCGCAGAGGAAAACATCCAGTGCCATGCCCCTTCTGTCTCTCTCTCAGTTGTTTGCTAGGGGATGCAGATTGTTACGGTGATGGGCAAGGGCTGAATTGGAGTGGGTAACTGCAATGTGGAATAAAAGTTAAACTACATAAGCTTTAGGAATTTCATTTTCTAGGCTGAGTTTGATATATTACACCACTCCTTCCTTTGTCAGCAGGTCTCACCTCATCAAGAAAGTTTCCTAAGGTTCTGCTTCTCTCTTTACAGTATCTGGAAGCCCGGGGAGGGTCGGGTCTACTAATGTTGGGTGGGTGGGAACCAGTCTGTGCAGGAGTGAGACATGGGAAGCAGCACACAGAGCCCTGGACGGGAGGAGATCCAGGAGACTCGGATCCAAGGCCCGGCCCTGCTTCCTCGCTCTGCCCCTTTCCCTAAGTTACCGAACCTCTCTGTGTCCTAGTTCCTTTTCATCTGTAAACAATAACGCTTGACATTACCTCATAGAACATGGCAAGGATGAAATGAGGTAATGGGGAGAAAGCGCTTCATGGGAAACATCCTACAAGGGGAAAGTAATATTGTTAGAAAAATTGTTATTTGGAGAGGACTTCTCTGCCCAGCAGGTGCATACCTGGCAGGAGTCAAGGGTGACCACTGAACACTGCTGTGGCCCCGACAGGCCAAGCGAGCCAGGCAAGAGGAGCCCAGTGCCGTGGTGGCCTGGGGGGTGGGTGAGAGGGGGGATCTACGGGCTGCTGGTGCCCCCTGAACTGCCAGGTGGACGGCCCGCCCCTCCAGGTGGAGGAGGGTCCCAGCTGCAATGCTAAGAACAAAAAGCTCAGAACTGCAAGGCTCAGAGCACACAGGCAAGCAGGTATCCATGCTGGCTTGTTTCCTTCTGTGCCTCTCTGAGATTGGTGAACAGACAGGGTCATGCTTCTGGGCCACAGAGAGGGTGTCTCACCACAAATAGGAAACAGTCACAAAAATGGTCACTCCGCAGATCTGCCTCAGCAGGGACCTTAAAAGGCCTCTAACCTCAAGTGTGCCCCAGGCTCTGGTCCTGGCATCTTCACCTCTGCCACCGGACAAAGCATCCTCCCTCAAGCTGACCTCTGGAGGGGGCGGTGAGGACAGAAGAGTAACCAAGAAACATGGCCGTAACGAGCAGATTTGCTCTCAGAAGCGGAGGCAAAGAGGCCAGTGTGGAAGTGGGTGGTGGCATGGAGAGAGAACAGATTTGGGAGTCAGAAGACCCAGAGTTGAATGCTGCCTTTTCCACCTCACTGTGTAGCCTCGGGGACAAGACTTTGTCTCCCAGAGCCTCCCCTTCCTCACACCTAACTCGGAGTTGGGTTGTCAAATGAGTGGATATATGTGAGAAGCCCACAGTCGACTCTTGTAACCCACTTGTTCCTAAGAGGTAGCCAGGAATTCTCTCCTAGCATGATAAACACCCTCATCCAGTCTCTTCCAATTCTCTGACTGATAAAGGGAAAGGAATTATATTACTTATCAAGTTCTGGTCACTGTGCTAGTAACTTACTGTATACTATTTTATTTTATCCTCACAGTTGATTCTTTGAAGTAGGTACTGTTATTGCTCCCATTTTCTACATACGGATGTAGAGGTTCAGAAAGGTTAAGTCAGATTCTCCTGATCACACATCTGGGAAGTGCAGAAGCTGAGATTCAAATCCACGTTTATGTGACCACAATCTGAGCTTTGGGCTCCATATCACATGGCACCAGGAGTTCTGGTACACTAAGATCCCTCCACCAACCAGACACAAGCTGATCTGAAAATCAGTTAGAATTAGCATGGCCATATAATTTATCATCCTAACCAGCATACTTTTGTCCTGTACCCACAATAAACCAGATGAGATCCCAGGATAACAAGCATAAAAAAAGAAGTATAGGCCATCTACTTAAGATGCAAATAGCGCAGGGAAAGATGATGCTCCAACCTGGGATGGATTTCATAGATTCTAAGACATACTTTCCTCTCACATTTAACATCTTTTACTAGCATCTTTGCTTCAGTGAAATGCCATGGTTAGAAGCAATGGTGAAGAATTGGAATATGTATGTGTAGGGGAAGGAGGGCAGAGGGCAAGGTTCAATATTCTTCAGAGACCCTGACCTAAGAGGGCTGCCAGGGTGGGAGACTCATAAGACAGGCACCAAGGAGGGGGTAAAAAATTATGCAGGAAGGAGGGAGCCAGAGGGCCCTCCCAAATACCACACTACAGAGAACCCACACTGGAGGGAGGTGGGGAGGAACTAGGAGAAGTATACAGGCAGTAAGATGTCCCTAAGTCCTCATCTGCAGCTGAGCAATGGGTTGGACTAGCTCTGAAAGTTCAGCATCTAAGACCAGTAGCTGTTGCCCCCCATGCCCCTCCGATGACATCTTTGCCCCAGTTTTTCACCTCCCACCTCGGCCACCATGCTGTGCTAGACACAGCCCAAGCCAGAGCCCTGGACTCTGCAGGACAGCACACTAGCAGAACTGAGCTACATATCTTTCCCCCAACTCACCACAGTATGGAGCCCGGGCAGTGGTCAGGAGGAAGACTTTCACTTCCTTAGGAAGCGGCTCTATCTTGACACCACTTTGTTCCATCAGCCCTGGAAGCAGAGAGGCAAAGACAAAGACAGCAGAGCCCTGAGGACGCCATTGCAGTGTCCCACAGCACCCAACCATGTTTTGAGTCATTCATGTACTCATTCATTCTATAAACACCCACACTGTATGCTCATTCTATGCCATGCTCTATGGTGAGTCCCAGGGTACCTGCAACCCAGTCCAGCCAAGGATAAACACAGAAGTAAACAGGAAGTACATTCTTCAAATCATCTGGCCCATTCCAAGAGGTATTTATCAGAAATTTTTTTTTAAAGATTTTATTTATTTATTTGAGAGAGAGAATGAGATAGAGCATGAGAGGGAGGAAGGTCAGAGGGAGAAGCAGACTCATTGCTGAGCAGGGAGCCCGATACGGGACTTGATCCTGGGACTCCAGGATCATGACCTGAGCCGAAGGCAGTCGCTTAACCAACTGAGCCACCCCGGCGCCCGGTATTTATCAGAAATTTGAAATTATGTCTCCAATTGGCAAAATAATCTATAAGAGAGTTGTTTGAATGGCATTTATATCCCGTGCAGACAAGGCACGGGGAAGCATTTGACCTGCAGCATAGTAGTTGACAAGTTAGGGAAGGGCACTCTAAGCAGAGAGTACAGTTCAGCAAAGACACACAGGGTGAAGAGACGAAATGTTCTTGGAAGTACAGGTAGTCAGCATCCCTGGGGTGTTCAGCACCAGGGAAACTGTGGCGAGAGGTGACGCTGGCAGATAGTGTGAGGTGGCTGTTTATATCAGCAGGTACATCACACCTGGGGGACATTGTGGCATATGCCTACTGAGTCAGAAGTAATGTAGATTTGCTTTATTGTGGGAAGCTACATCTACTTTAACATTTTGTCAAGCTGGTATCTGTTTCATAAGGAATGGCAGGCTGCCACAGTTCTGAGTGGCAATCGGGGGTGAGAAGTGAGAAAATGAGGGAGGGGAAGGAACCATTTATATTTCCCAGAGTTCTTCCTGAAATCCTTCATCTTGGAGAACCCTAGGATGTTCTCAGCAATGCCCTGCAGAGGGTGAGTTGAGGCCAGATCCCTCAGCCTTTCCCAAGTCCTTCTCCCCAGACTGGCCTGGAACATCCAGGAACGTGCCCAACCCAACTAGTAATGAGGCAGGCCTCCAGTTGGCACATGGCCACCACAGCCTGACACCTCTGAATTGGGCCATGGGTGCCATTCTTGGGGATTCCCCACAACACCTTGATTTAGAGTCTATCAGGAGTTGGAGAATGGCTGGCCTAGCTAGAAAGACCTAGGGCAAGCATCTGGTCTTGGAGTGGGGGCAGAGGCTCTGGGCTGTACCAATGTTTCTAAAGTGTCCTGAGTCTGGACTTGCAGATGAGGGGCTGTGTGTGAAGGGTGTGTGCAGAGCAAGTATGGCATCAGGCAGCAGGACAGAGGGTGAGGGGTGGGACGTGGAAGGCCAAATGCCTTCTTCCAGGTGGGAACAGACCAAACACCTTATCAGTGAATTTCCTTACTCCGGGGGGATAGACTTGTTGATCATAAGAAATCAGGACTTACAGAGGTGACAACTAGCAAGACTTGGACTTTCCCCAAATTGTCAAAGGAAGCCAAAGGGGTGGCATTTACCAATTCTTGGACAGGAAAGCAGAAAAGGGTTAAAACAATCCAGACATTGTCCAGCAAGAAAGGCCTTGTAGTTGACACAGGGAAAGGCCACGAGTGGACAGGAATTCTCCAGGGCACTGATGTAGAGGTGCACAGCCCTCATGTGATCACAGATCAGGTAACTGTAGCCTGTGGGGGGTGGGAGGAGGCGGGAAACACAACCAAGGCTTTAGTTTAAGACAAATGAAAATCCCTTCATGCTACTTATTGTAATTCTATTGAATTTTACATTCCAGCAGGCTATAAATGCATGGGATGTCTCCTGAGCCACATTTTAAAATGTTAATGGACATGGCTACTATATTCTCCCTCTTCTTTTGAATTTTCCTGAGATACCTAAGCTTAATCTATGAAAAAAGCTGTTTAATTTGAGACCTATCTTCCATGATCATGCAAATTCTCTTTTGGAAAATGGGAGCTTACTGGGAATTGGTGATCCTGACCCACTTCTCACAATGAATATCTGTCTGCACTTTTTACCTTCTTCATCATCACCTACACAATCCAATTTTTTACAACCTCATGATACCCAACCTAGTGATGAGACAATCAAGGGAGTCAGCAGCGGTTCATGGTAAGTCTCTGAAAGTCAATGTGCTTCGAGTTCACCTGGCCAAATGACTGATACACTGAATTTGCCAAATGTCTCAATTTAATAAAAACCTGGTTTTCTTGTTACTGTTTACTGTATAAAAATTTGAAGTAACTCACATTGGATGAATTGGCTAGGCTAATAGGTCTATAGTGAGTCACAGCTCTAGCGTTCTGGGGTCTTCAGATTCTCCCTTCACCTTGGGAACCCCACTCTGGGACCAGCAACCAAGTCTGAGCTTATATTAACCTGCCTTCCCCCATGTTTGGGACACTCTATGGGCAAGCTCCTTCCAGCTGCAACAGGGAGCTGGGGGACACAAACAAAACCCTTCTCAAATTGTGTTATGAAGAAAAATGACAAGTGGCCAGCTAAAATGCCACAGAAATATTCAAAGGTCATTAAATCCAAACTATCTCATCTGATAAAAAATGCTAGAAAATCTATAAATTGTGAAAAAGAAACGTGTTTTTGGAAAATCAATAAATTTGGTAAATTAGATGAGTGGTTATTCAATAAAATTGTCAAAAGAGCCCTTAAAATGTCAAAAATTTGGTGAAGCAGGAAAAGACTAAAAACAAAGTAAACAGAAACCAGGATAAAATTCTCATAAGAAATGCTGATAGGTTGGCTATATTCACAAGAAGAATAAAAAAAGATTAAACAAACCTTGATCCTTAGCTTTTGACAAATTTAAAGTTATTTAAAATAATGCTAAGAAGAATGTATTCAAAAAGAACATTCCAGGAGACTACAACTGACCCTTGAACAACAGGGGAAACCCCCATGCAATTGAAAATCCATATATAACTTTTCACTCCCCCAAAACTTAATTATTAATAGCCTACTGTTGACAGAAAGGCTTACTGATAACATAAACTGTTGATTAACACATATTTTGTACGCTATATGTATTCTATACTGTATTCTTACAATAAAGTAAGCTGGAGAAAAGAAAATGTTAAAAATCATAAAGAAGAGAAAATACATTCACAGTGCTCTACTGTATTTATCAAAAAAATCCATGTATAAGTGGACCTGTGCAGTTCAAACTCATGCTGTTCAAGCATCAATTGTGTATTTAGAAAAGAAGAAATGTATATTCATTGAATGTATTCAAGATGATTATCTTGAAACAGTTTTGGAGAATTGCCAAATTTCATAAGTTTGGGGAAATTGTCATCTGTGGATTGATCCTTCAGCTAGCCAGCTTTGGGCGTTCTACTTCTGCCACAACTAGGCTCTTGCCAGGGATGTAGCTAGTGTGGACCATGCCACAAAGCGGGGCCCAGGAAGAATAGAGTTTATTGGCTTGAGTGATGATATATCACTGCAGGACCTAAGAAGTGGGGAGGCCAGCAAAAGTATGGTGCAAGCTTTTCATTTCGGGCCCTCCCCTCCCAAAATTCCCCAGGCTCCTAAAGACATGCATTCAATAAGTGCAGGGAAAGGCATTATGGGGCATAGCAAAGGACACTAGAAGGAAGACCTCCTGTGGTCTGCACTGGCTGTTGGTGAATTCCAGCCTCCAGGGCAGCCAAACCCCAACTCTCTCTGGCTTTCTGACCTGCATGAATGAAGGTGGGACAGCCGGGTTGGTCTTGGCCTCCATTGACAAAGTAGTCCACGTGTCCAACAGGAATCCGGATACCCAAATCTGAAAGGAGGCAGAACCCCATTGTTTCGGACTGCAGGGGCATATTTTCTGGATCCCACAGCAGGGCTCCCCAGCAGCAGAGCCTGAACTCTGACTTTGGGAGCCCACCCACTCTGTGTGCCCAATGGGTACCCACCTCACTCCTCAATGCTGGGACACAGCAGAGTGTGCCCTCCATTTTCTACACTGAAAGGTAGCCAAGAAGAGTAAAGCCATGAGCAGATATTCATATTTGTCTAATAAAATCAAGAAAAATATCCCTTAACATCAATCAGTTCTGATAAATCACTAAATCTTGTAAGCTTGGTAAATGTCCTTGTTGAACAAGTGTTTATTTTGTTTGGAGCTATAGTTCAGGTAGATATATATTTGGGGCCACATTTCCACAGTGTCCCTCATATTTTTGTGCTGTCTTGAACGGAGCAGAAACCTGGCTAGTTTGAAAGACTGTAGCCTGTAGCTCTCATTTCATCACCGTGGCCATATCTGACCCCTGAGACTGGGTCCGAACCAGCTGCCAAAGACCCCAACTTTCCTCTTCAAAAATCTTTCCCCTTCCCACATCTATCACTACTGTAAGTGATTGGTTGTATGTTATTTGTTGAATGACATCTATCCAGGGGTTAGCCAAGGACCTAGAAGTTATCCTTACTTTCTCCCTTTCCCTCATTCCCTACACTTAGCCCATCACCTGTCTGGTCAGCTCTACCTCCAAAATATATTTCGGGGGCGCCTGGGTGGCTCAATCATTAAGTGTCTGCCTTCGGCTCAGGTCGTGATCCCAGGGTCCTGGGATCGAGTCCCACACTGGGCTCCCTGCCCGGCGGGGAAGCCTGCTTCTCCCTCTCCCACTCCCCCTGCTTGTGTTCCCTCTCTCGCTATGTCTCTGTCAAATAAATAAATAAAATCTTTAAAAAAAAACAAAACAAAATATATTTCGAATCTTTCTACTTCTCTACATCTCTACTGCCCCCACCTCTTCTCTATGACTCTACTGCCCCCATCTCCCACCCAGACCACTACTGCAAACACCCTCTAATGAGCCTCCAGGCTCCCTTAGTGTCCCCTGCAGCTGATTCTCTGCACAGCAGTTGCAATCATCTTTACAGGAAATCCTAATGCCTCCCTGTTCTCACCAACTACAGAATAAAATGTAAACTCCTCACCATGGCCAGCCTGGTCCCCCTCCTTCTTCTCCTGCCTCACTCCCTGCCTTCTAACCATGTGGTTTTCTTTGCTGTCCCCACCCATGTCCAGGCTTTGCTTCTGACTGCTCTTTCCACCTCGAATGTTCTCCCAGATCTTCCCAGGGCTGGTTCATTCTCACCTGCAAATACTCAACTTGGACAGACTTTCCTCCATAACCCCACCTGAAGTGGCTCCCCCACCCAAATCACCCTCTGTCCCACCTCCTCAGTCATGGTACTCAGAGTGTGTAATTATGTCTGCTTATTTGTCTGTAAGCTCTACAACTTACAGCAGGGACTTTGCCTGTCTTTTTTTCCTGCTATATCCCCAATACCAGCACCATGTCTGTCACATGTGAGTACCTAATATTTATCGAAGGAAGTAATGAATGAATGCCTGCTCAATTGGTCTATATTTCCACGTGGGTGGGGACCTTCTTCAATGCCTTGTGCCTTGCAGTATTCTCAATGCTATCTAGCTCAATAAAAATTGGTTAGACAAAATGGAATGCTTTTTTTTTTCCCCTCTCATCACATTAGGAGGAGGCTCCAACTTTGAAGGGGACTGAGAGGCCTCGCTCTGGTAACTGGGGACCTAATAAGTCACCTATTTAGCAAATTTAGAGACAGAAGGGGTTAACTTTCATAATTAACATGGTTACCCCAACAGCTAGGCAGAGGCCTGTGGGCTTTGCTTTCCTATCTGTGAGATGATGAAGAAAAGAGGGTTAAATAGTATGCCTGCGTGGGTTTTTTCCAGAATTATGAATCTGTGAGTGTTGGGTGCTAAAAGAAGGCTTCTGGGGGTGTCTGGGTGGCTCAGTCATTAAGCGTCTGCCTTCGGCTCAGGTCATGATCCCAGGGTCCTGGGATCAAAGCCCCACATCAGGCTCCCTGCTCCGCGGGAAGCCTGCTTCTCCTTCTCCCACTCCCCCTGCTTGTATTCTCTCTCTCTCTCTCTCTCTGTCAAATAAATAAATAAAATCTTTAAAAATAAATAAATAAATAAAAGAAGGCTTCTGACCCAAAGGAATGAGACCTGGACACCTCTCACTTGAACTGCACATTCTTCTGGCGAGGGATAGGCATTATTTCTTCCTGTACCTGCCATGCTGAGCACAAGGCCTGGCTACCACCTAGGCATTTCATAAAGGGTAGAAATGAGGAAGAATGCCCACCCCCCTTTCCCAGCTGGTCAGAATAGCTTAATTTGGTCATAATGGATTCAGGGTTGGGGTTCCTTCCTGTGCCTGTCACTGTTGGAGGGGAGGATTCTCATTCTTCACTGGACTGAAGGGCTGGGCTCCTCCCTAGGAAGGAGGAAAGTCCTGACAGGCCTGAGTATCTGCCCCAGAGGGGCCTGTCCCACGGGGCCAGGCACATTCACCCTGAAAAAACAGCATGACTTTCCCCTATGCCTGCCAGGCAGCAATGCCTTCCCCCACACAGCCTCATCACAAGGTTTAGTATTTTTTTTTTAAAGATTTTATTTATTTATTTGACAGAGAGAGAGAACGAGAGATAGAAAGCGCGAGAGGGAAGAGGGTCAGAGGGAGAAGCAGACTCCCCGCTGAGCAGGAAGCCCGATGTGGGACTCGATCCCGGGACTCCAGGATCATGACCTGAGCCGAAGGCAGTCGCCCAACCAACTGAGCCACCCAGGCGCCCACAAGGTTTAGTATTAATCAGAGATCAACATGACACTGGTAAACTCCTTACTGCAACAGAAGCTCAGAAGGGAGGAAACCTGCCCAGAGCCACGCAAATGGATACCGGCTACCTAGCCCCTGCCGGGCTCATTCCCCTACCCTAGGAGGGTCACCCACCCCCCATACTCACTGTCAGCGTCCGTGTGGATGGCCTCCACGAAGAGGGCATCTCCAGGATCCAGGCGCTCCTCCAGACTGGCTTTGGTGTACTCCGGTCCAGCAGGGTCCAGGCCTGCTGGGACAGACTGATGTCAGAGGCCCCTTTCCTCTCAGCTGCAGCAACCCTCATGGACCCACCATATACGTCTCAGGGCAGCCCTTCCCGGTCAGGTCCTCCAGCAAGGATCCAAAGGCAAGAGGGCCAGCCCAGGACCACTGGACCCAGGAAACCCCATGTTGTTGTCTCCAACTCTCAACGACCCAGCTTCTCTGGCTCTGAAATGAGCTTGATAACATCAACCATCTGGCAAGGGCTATAATATTAATCCTCATGTACTCAGCACAACAGCTATAATATTTTGAGCAGTTACTGTCTGCCAGTCCTTGTGCTAGTCCTCATAACAACACAGTGAAGTAAAAATTACTATCCCTGTGTCTTAGTTTGGATGCCCTTTTCTCTCTTTCCCAAAAAGCAGACCCTGAGACAAGGATTTAAAGTACAAGGAGCTGGGCGCCTGGGTGGCTCAGTTGGTTAAGCGGCTGCCTTCGGCTCAGGTCATGATCCTGGAGTCCTGGGATCGAGTCCCACATCAGGCTCCCTGCTCAGCGGGGAGTCTGCTTCTCCCTCTGACCCTCTTCCCTCTCGTGCTATCTTTCATTCTCTCTCTCTCTCTCAAATAAATAAATAAAATCTTTAAAAAAAATAAAGCACAAGGAGCTCATTTGGGAGTAGATCAGAGAAAGTATAGTGAAGGATTAGAAAAATGAGTCAGAGTTTGGAAAAACGGATGTATTATCACTTTGGGCAACTGGGTCTCATCCCACTGGCACCCTTCTGAGAGGCTCTGCAGAACATGACTCAGAATTATCCCACTGAAGGGCCAGAAAGTGGGGGTATTTACTACACAACTCTAGTCCCTTATTGACTGAGGGTAGCTTCTGAAGCATAAAGTCCCTAGTGCTTTTGCAAGTATTTAGCATAATTGTCTAAGGGTGATTTCCACAGTGGGCCAAGGAGATATGAACTATTACAACTCATGTTACAGAGGTAGTAATTGAGGCTCAGAAGAAATACGTGGCTTCTTACACTGACATTAGAGATCACACAATAACAACACAATACCGTTTCATACAAAAGGGCCACAATAAATAAATTTTAGTGGAGGTAGATAATTCAATCATAATAACAAAGATCCCCTCTGCTTGCCTCAACAGAGGCATTTCCAGGGCATTCTCTCTCTATGTCTGAACTCGGGAAGATGGGCAGAGAATACTGTTACCTGTGATCCGTCCTAACTGGCCTTTGTAGAAATGTCCCACCATGCCCCCAACGTGGGCACCCAGGCTAACACCAATGATGTGGATTGAAGACTCCGGCACACCCAGCACCTACAATGGGGCATTTACAGGGAATTACACATGGGCCACAGCAGCCTCTGGCCTCACAGGGTCACACTTTTCCCTGAAGCTTCAGAATCAGAGGACCCTGGGCATGACATCCCCCACACACCTTCTTTGGGAGAAAAAGGCAGAACTTCCATCCCATTCATTACTTGCCCTCTTCCTAGACACCCCACCTTGACAATTGCCTCACTTTCTCTTTGGTGCCCAAAGTGTGTGAGTAATGAACATGGCCACTTCCTCTTGAGGGATTCCATATCTAACGTCAGTGGCACATTCTACAGAGGAGAAGCAGAGGCTCCAAGTGGGGCAACAACTTGCCCAAAGTCAACACTGTTAAGTGGCAAAGTGGAGATTAGAAGGGAAGACCCACAAGCTACTGGGTGGCTCTGCTTCTGCCCTAAAGCTCCTCCTCATGTGTTGACTCTTTCTTTTTGTCCCCTCTCTCCTCCATAAGAAGCCAAAACTCACCCCCAAGCCCTTCAGCACCTACCAGAAGTTTTCTGAGGAAACGGGAGATCTCAAGTCCCAGCTTAACCACATTTTCCACGGCTGAGAAGTAGACACCTGTAGAACCATAAACCCAGTCCACAGCAATCACATTAGCATTTGCTGCCCGAAGAAGAGTGCCAATGAATTTATCAATCCAGGAAGGCTTTGTACCTAAGGCCCTAGACAGAGGGCCAAGAAAGGATAGGAAAATTATCTGCCAAGCCAATATCCATTGTCATGGAAATGACAATGATACTCTCTATTAACAGAATAAACCCAGGGGGAAAAAAGGTCCAAACAAATAAGGGGGGTATATGGGCAATACATCTTATACCACTTTGAGCCTAGGGAGAGCATAATCCCAAAGTCACCAGGGCTTCAGCCTGCATATATGGAGCCTTTGTGTAAATTATAGAAAGGCCTTTTGTTCCAGGTAGATGCAGCCTCATGCCAGGGCCCAGAACTCAGGTTGGATTTCAGTCCCACCAGGCCTCAGTCAGGTACCTTGGTGCAGTGCATACTACACAAACCATATATACTGACACTGCTTGTGTTACTCATGGGGGAGAAAAGATAGCTTTGTACCTTAGAGTTATGATTTGCAATCTTAATTCTCATTCTATAATATAAGCACTCTCCTTGAGGGATGTTTTTATTTACTTGTTCGTTCGGTCATCCTTTCATTAATTCAATGAGCCAGGCAGTATGCTAGGTGCTTCTCTCCAGCTTTGTTGGCTATCTCTGGGTTGGGGGTACACACTCAGCCTTGGAGAGTGGCTGAATATAAAAGATTTCCTGGAGGAGAGACTTCGGCACAAGAGTGAGGAAGAATGCCTATGGAGAGATGTGGCTGGGTCCCTGGAGTCCAGTGATTTGAGAAGCAGAGAGAATCCGGAGACCATGAAATAGTGATCCTTTGTGCAATGGCTTTGTGTCCATGTCTTCCTTGCGGCGGGGGTGGGGGTGGGGGGGCTCTAGTTGCTCAATACTGCTACTATTTCACTGCATTCTCTCCTTCTTTCCTCCCACCAACCTTCCTCTGTTTCTGGCCTTGCCAATGGGCTCTGGAGAGATATTAGAAGGATGGATGGTGGTTGAATTAAGACTCAGTATTACAACAAAATTTGGACTGTAGGGCATCAGACCTTGAAGAAGAGAAGTGTCTAGCACCTGAGGAGGTTAACCTCAGGAGATGATGGAAGTAGCATCTGTGAGTGGAAGTTTCTTAAATCATGAAACCAGGGAAGAAATGAAGAAGAGGAAATAAACCTCTGGATAAAACACCATGCTGTTACCCTGACTGCACAAAGCCTATGACCTCATTGGCTGAGATGAATCACATAACCCATGCTTCAGGGAGAAAAGGATCACTGAGACCATCTATACAACTTCCCTTTTATTCAGATGTGGAAACCAAGACTCCATGTGCTGGGGTGACTTGTTCGGGTTCATACATATTTACTGTGTGAAAGTGTGTCGACAAGACTGAGCAGAGGAGTAATGTACATGACCAACAGGAATGAGCAACACAATGTGTGTTCATGTTGATATGAGACACCTTCAAAGACAGCAGTAGGTGAAAGATGAAACATGGGACTGTCAGTAAATCCATTTCTCCTCTTGCTCCCCACTAAATTCCTATGGCATTATGGTCACTCTCTAGTTCCTAGCTGAGATATATCTATTAGCTGATTACTCCCACCTGAATCCATGGATGAGTAGTTTGGTTCCTAGAGTGGCATTGAACCCAGAGTTTTGGATGTCACTACTTTCCTGCACTAGCTGCCCACAGCTGGGAGCCAAAGGGGTGAAGAGGAGAAACTGGACTTTGAGATTGGTGCCTTGGAGAAGATTAGCGTTCTGGAAGTTAGTGCACTTTGTCTGTGGGGTAGGAGGTGCATCTCCTGGAGGAAAAAAACAAAAAGAAAAACAAGAATGATCCAAGGTGAGGTCATCTGTTCTTAGAAGGAAGAAAAGTGTTCTTGAGAGGAAGAAAGAAACAGGGGCTTACAAGCAGTTATTATAAATCAGCTAGTGCAATATTCAGACTAATTTATTAAAAACATCACTTCTGGGGAGCCTGGGTGGCTCAGTCCTTAGGCGTCTGCCTTCGGCTCAGGTCATGATCTCAGGGTCCTGGGATCGAGCCCCGCATTGGGCTCCCTGCTCAGCGGGGAGTCTGCTTCTCCCTCTCCCACTCCCCCTGCTTGTGTTCTCTCTCTCGCTGTGTCTCTCTCTGTCAAATAAATAAAAAAAAAAATCTTAAAAAAAAAAAGACATCACTTCTGTAACCAAAATCTGTAAATAGTTTTCATATCTAAAGATACAATGCCAGAAAAAGATATGACTATTACTCAACCAGAAAAGATTAAAGACCATGCATGGTGAAGTGAATATAGTTATGAAATAAATTGGGTTGCCCCTCTAAATCCATAGGTTGAAGTCCTAATGCCCGGGACCTCAGAATGTGACTGTATTTGGAGATAGAGATTATTATATTAAAATGAAGCCAATAGGGTAGGCCCTAATCCAGTATGACTGGTGTCCTTGTAAGAGGAAATTTAGACACAGACACAGAAGAAAGACAACATGAAGACACATGGAGTAGACGGCCAACTGCAAGCCAAAAATTAAATCAAATAATGTCATGCCTCTATGCAAAAAAAGCCTCTAAGGCATTTCCCTCAGAATGAAATCTGAGGTACTAACAATGGATTGAAGCCCTGAAAGGTCTAAACCACGGGCTCCAGGAGCACTGTGCCTGTCCAACTATTGTTTCATCTGTTCTGGACACATGTGCTCCCAGGTCTTTCTCACTCTGCACAGTCCTAGACCCCCTGAGGGTGTTTGCACTGGTCATCCCTTCTGCCCAGAGTGTCTTTCCACAGACATCCACATGGCTACCCCACTCTTCTCCTTTAAGTCTTTGCCTGTCAAAGGTAACTTTCTCATTTGAATTGTCACCTGCCTGTGCCCCTCACCCAAGTTCTCTCAATCTTCCTCATCCTGATCTATCTCCTTTTATAGAAATCATACCCTTCTAATCTCCTATGGAATTCACAAGTTTATTATTAAGTGTATTGTTTATTGATTTCCCTACATTAGCATATACTTTCAAGAAGGCAGAAATTTTTTTAATTTATTTTTTATTTTTATTATTATTTATTTGACAGAGAGAGAGAGAGACAGCGAGGGGGAACACAAGCAGGGAGAGTGGGAGAGGGAGAAGCAGGCCTCCCGCGGAGCAGGGAGCCCGATGCGGGGCTCGATCCCAGGACCCTAGGATTATGACCTGAGCCGGAGGCAGACGCTTAACCGTCTGAGCCACCCAGGCGCCCCAAGAAGGCAGAAATTTTTATCCATTTTGTTCACTCTCCTGCCTAGAATAGTGTCTGCCACAGACAATAAACATGAAAAGCTAGTTCTTTGAAAAGAATAATACACTAGATGTACTTTCGATAAGACAGAGTAAGAAAAAAAGAGGGAAGTCACAGGTAAACAATACAGAGAATAAAAAGGGGATATAAATAGAGTAGATTTTTAAAACCATAAAAGAGCATGTTTATACCCACCCAAAAGTTCAAAATACAGATATCTTTCTAGAAAATGGAAAATTTCCTAGAAAAGTATAGCTTACTGAAACTTAGTCAAGAAAGAAAAAACAGAATGTCAAATGTAAAACTGTAGCATTAGGGAATTGAAACAGTAGTTTTCAGTCTCTTCATCAAAAAACTCTACTGGGCCAGACAGTTTTACAGAAAAATTCTATCAATCCCTCAATTCTTATCACTGTTCTGGAGAATAGGAAAGGGGAGAGAGAATCTAAATTCATTCTATGAAAATAACCAAGATATCAAAACTGGGCAGGGACAGAAGGAGAAAGGAAGACGAAAGGCCAATTTCACTATTAAACAGAGACGTAAAAACCCTGAATTAATTATCAGCAAATCTAAGGCAATCAAGGATAACAAGAACTAAACACACATCATGGCCAGGGTTTAATCCAAGGAATGAAAAGATGGCTTAACATTAGAAGATGTATTAATCTAATGCATATATGAAAAATTAAAGAAAAAAAAGATATATGCTCATCTCAACAGATGTAGAAGAAAAAAGCTCAATAAAATTTAATACCCAGCACTTTTAACCTAAGAAAAAGTGTTTACCAAGAACCTATAGCAATGACCATACTTATGGGTGAAACATTAGAAGCATTCCATTTAGAACTGGAAACAAATGAGAATGTCTGCTATCAGTGCTTCTATGAAATATTGTCCTGGAAGGTCTAGTCCTAGCCAGGGATACAAGACAATAAAATGGGATCAAAGTTACAAAGTTGGAAAAGGAGGAGAGATAATCACCAATATTTGCAGATGATAGAAGAAAACTTTTGATCACTTGGGAATATGGAAGGTGGTGCCCTGAATCATGCTCAGATATCCCCTCTCTCCAACTGCCACTCCAACCAAAGACTAATCGTAGATGAATATCAAAAGAGAAGAGAGAAAGACAGCCAATCTCAAATATAAAGATTATATCTCTGTGAACAAGAACAGAATTGCAGGATGGTGCTGGGTTCCTAGTCTGGGAGAAGGCAGCTCTGTGAGGTAAGTGGGGTCCTAGAGTGCTCCATGTCAGGTGTGGAAGTTCAGCACCAGGCCCACCTGTGGTAGTGGGGGGAGGGGATCCCCAACTCAGTAAAGGAAGCTAAAAACAAAAGCAATACAACCAAAAAAATAGCTATAGTCTTTTTACTTGGGGCTATAGCTTTATTTAGGAAGACAGAATGGAAAGACAAGGCCTCACTAGTGAGAGCTGAGACAACCTGCCCCCCAACTGGAGGAGACAGTCTAAAGATGAGAAGGTGTGGGGGGCGGCTGGGTTGCTCCTGCCAGTTAAGTGTCTGACTTCAGCTCAGGAAATGATCTCCCTGTGTCCTTGGATCAAGCTCTGTGCTCAGCGGGGCGTCTGCTTGTCTCTCTCCCTCTCCCTCTGCCCATCCCCTGCCCTGGCTCTCAAGCTCTCTTTCTTTCAAATGAATAAATAAAATCTTCAAAAAAAAAAAAAAAAGATGAGAAGGGGAGGAGGTGATGGGAGGGAATGGGGGGGCCAAACACAAGCTTCTCATTGAACATTGAAATGAGACTGATCTATTGTGTTAGAAGTCAAGATAATAGTTATCTTTGGGGTGGTAGTGATTAAGACGGGGATACATGGAAAGAGTTTTAAGAACTTCATAATGTTTTATTTCTTGATCCGGATGATGGTTACACAGGTGAATTCACTCTGAAAATTCATTAAACTGTATACTAATAATCTGTGCACTTGTCTGTACATATGCTGTACTTTAATAACGAATTTACTTAAAAAAATCCTGCAACCCAAATGCCTAAATATATACAGAAATCAAATGTTTACAAAGATAGTCAAAAGCCAATAAATGAATCATGAATTCATTCCAGGTAAAATAAGATTTTAAAAGCCTTTGACATTGACTTTAAAATAAGTATGCTGAGAATCTACAAGGATAAAAATAAAGACAGAGAATAAGAAATCATGAAATAAAAACAGGCATAAATGATAAGATATATAGGAAAAAACTAGTTCAAAAATTGGAAATGAAAAAGATAACCATTGAAATAAAAAAGGAATCAATACTATAATTTTTAGTACAGAAGTAAAAAACTTTTTTAAATTAATTTATTTATTTTAGAGAGAGAGAAAGAGAGAGAGCACAAGCAGGGGGAGGGACAGAAGGAGAGGGAGAGGAAGAATCTCAAGCAAACTCCATGCCCAGCACAGAGCTTGACGCGGGGCTCAATCTCATGACCCTGAGATCTTGACCTGAGCGGAGATCAAGAGTTGGATGCTTAACCAACTGAGCCGCCCAGGTGCCCCAGAAGTAAAAAAACTTTTAATATGAAAGTATAGTTAAAAAGTATAGACAATAGATGGAGAGGTTCCAATTTTTACCTAGTAGCTGTTCTATAAAGGAAGAGAATAGGAGAAGCAGCAATATTTTGAAAAGATAATTGTTAAGAATTTTCCATAACTGAAAAAATATATGAATTCTCCAATCAAAAATTACACTCAGGGTAATGTGCGAGATAAAAAATAAACAGGGCACCTGCGTGGCTCAGTCAATTAAGCATCCAACTTAATTTCGGCTCAGGTCATGATCTCAGGGTTGTGGGATTGAGCCCCAAGTGGAGCCCCATGTGGAGCCCTGCATCAGGCTCTGCACTCAGTGAGGAGTCTGCTTCAGGATTCTCTCTCTCCCTCTGCCCCACCTTTCTCAAATAAATAAATAAACCTTTCTCAATCAATCAATTAATCAATCTAAAGGTATATTATAGTATAACACCAGAACATCACAGATAAAAAGATATTTCTAAAAATTCCCAAATGCATTGGAAAACTTTGAAGAAATGGATAATTTTCTAGAAAAATATAATTTAGTGAAACTCACTCAAGAAGGAATTGCAAGCCCAAAAAAACTACTAGCATCCAAACATTAAATTGGTAATCAAGAGTCTTCTCTGGCCCTAAAGTACACTAGAGCTAGATGGTTTTATCTGAGAACTCCACTGCTTTAAAGTACAATTAATCTTTATCTTATATAAACTGTTTATAGAATAAAAACTTATTTCATGAGGTTATAATAATCCTAGAATCAACAGGACATGGGTAATACAAGAAAATGATAGATAATTTTTTATGGACATACATGCAAAATAATATATATAAGTATATACAAAAATAAAAATAAATTTTGGCAAAATAAAACAGCATTGTATTAAAAAACACACCATGATTAAAGGGTTTGTTCCTGGTGATCTTAGTCTGATTGGGCTAGCCCATAGGGCTTAGAAGAAAATATGGAAAAATTGTCTTTACAGTAAGAGTGCTTAAACAAGACACCAGAAGCACAAATCATCATAAGAACTAAGAATTAAGACAACAATGTAATGACTATTTTTTCTATCAAGTTGACAATATGAAAAACGTTTGATACTACAAAGTATCGGCAGACAGGCGGGGCAGGGAAATAGTCATGCTCACATACTAATACATTGCTACTACTTCTTTGTAGGGCAATATTTCCCACATCTATCAAAAATCCATAAGACAGAAATTCTTTTGGATCTAGTATATCATGTATAAACGGCCATTTAGAATAACAAGATAGCTCTGTGTGTTCATATGGCAGAATTTCACACGAACACACAAATTTTATATACATATAAGGAGGCCATTCTATACACACACACAAATAAGTGCTTGAGAGAAAGCGCACATGAAGCTAAGCAGCACCTTTTAAAAGCCACCCGCTAATGCAGGGGGTGAATGCACTCATGCACTCTGAACTCTGGAGCAGGGAGGGGTGCTGAGAGAGGGATGAGGTGTTGCAAGAGAGGGAGGAATCGCAGTAGGCCTCCTGAAGATGTGAAGAGCATACATCAACAAAAAGGTATGAGCAGCTCCAGACAGAAGGACTGACACATTCTAAACCTGGGGACTGACAATTAAATGTCTCGTGAACAGGACTGAATAGGGGCCTGCTGTGGGGAACAGGGTTGGGGGCAGGGAGGAGCTTTCCGAGGGGAAGGACCAGTGCTCAGAAGAGAGGGATCTTCACCAGCCAGAGAACCTCCAGGCCACGGCAGTGTTTAGGAGTGTTTAGATTTGCTACATTAAGACAGCAGGCGTGGTGGGTGGGGGTTTTTACCTGGGGAAAGGTAGAAATGCAAGTAGCACCTGCGGGAATTTTTTCTAAAGGTCATCCTGTCATCTGCAGTTAGCAGGGACTTGCTAGCGTAGTCCTACCAGGAAAGACGACAAACCTAAATCTGAGTTGGGTCAGTGTAAGATTAGCAAGGACATCTACCGTTCACAACGCCAAAATCTGTTAGTCTGGAAAAGTAAAAAAAAAAAAAAAAAAAATTTTTTTTAAGATTTATTTATTTATTTGACAGAGAGAGGGAGAGAGAACACAAGCAGAGGGAGCTGGAGAGGGAGAAGCAGGCTCCCCGATGAGCGGGGAGCCCAATGAGGGGGCTCGATCCCAGGACCCTGAGATTATGACCTGAGCCGAAGGCAGACGCTTAACGACTGAGCCACCCAGGCGCCCCATGGAAAATTTAAATTTTAAAATTAAATATATCTTGGTACACCGGATATTTATAGGGGGAATGTAAATCATATTTTGGAATTAATCAAGTCTTATTTTTTTAGAGTCATCCTGGCTTGTGCCAGGTAAAGAGGATTAATGCAGCTTTTAGAGAAAAGAGTACAAGAACTAGGGGGCTTGAGAGAGTGTCCTGGTCACCATCAGTCCCTTTATGATTGTAGGGTTTTTTTCCTCCCTCTTTTAAATTCATCTCAAGAGAGGGCTTTTAGGGGACCTTCCAAAGGTTAGCACTGCATAAATAGATGGCTTAGGAACTAGAACCTCTGACAAAGAAATTCCACCCAATTAGCCCAGTCCCCGAATTACCTGCACTTCCAATGCTGAGCCACAAAAGGAGCCCCCATGAGCAGAACTGTATCTTCCTGAGACCTGGGGGCATCGCTGAGCTGCAATTCTCAGAGCTGGGGTGAAGCCGACTCCTACAAGCCAGCCTCTCAAAGTTTTGGACACCAAACACCCGCTTGGGTGGCACTAATCATTAACTGGCCTCTTGACCTGTAGAAGAAAAATGAACTCTCCCTATCTGTTTAACCTCCACAGTTAGTTGGTTTCTTCTTCTCAGTGAAAATAAATACACTTTTCTTTTCTTTTTTTTAAAGCAAGGGATGTTGAAACACATTGTCCTTCCTCTCTGAGCCAAACATCATCAGGAAGCGATTTCCTGCACCTCTCCCACTTCCCATTGCAAAATGTTAGTAAAAGCCAAGGCAGCAGTCTTTCATCTCTAGGTGAAGACAAAATCCGCATCGTCCTGGAATCATCTGTGGACATGTTTGTCTCTCTAGGAAGACTCTGAGCAGCTTAAGGGCAAAGACCTTCTCCTTTCAGTTTTTGTTTTTGTTTTCTTGAGCGCGAGAGAAAGAACAGGAGCTGGGGGTGGGAGGAGTGGTTAGAGGCAGAGGCAGAGGGAGAAGCAGACTCCCCACCGGTGGGGAGCCCGGCGACAACTGGGACCATCATCAATTAGGGAGCCTGATGCAGGGTCAGCCCCAGGACTCCAGGGCCATGACCTGAGCTGAAGGCAGACGCCCAACCCATGGAGCCACCCAGGTGTCCTCCTTTCAGTTTTGAATCCCCATGGCCTAGAACAGAACTGAACCGATGTGTCTAGTGTACATTTAACAGAAAGAGTGGAAGAATTCGAAGTTTGCCTCTGAGAGTGCTATCCTGTCATAGACTCTTGGAGCTAGAAGTAAAGCCCAGCCTCTAAAAAGAGACGTTCACCTTCTTAAATTCGCGAATACAGAAACTGAACGGTAGAGAACAAAAGTGGCCTATAGAAACTCTGTTGCTAGAAGTGGCTGAGCTGGCCTGGAACCAGGGCGTTTCCAGTGTACCACATGGCCTCTCCACCCAAAGGAGTGGCAAAAACCACAGAGAGCTTAGTCTGAGCAGGTCAGGGGCAAGGGGAAGGCAAGGTACTTGCCCAGCATTCCTGAAATTGTAGCACGCTGCTAGGGGGCTGGGAACCTGCCAACAGGGCAATACTAAACGTTTTGGACAATGGCTCCAGGACGTGAGTACAGCTTTAGGGCCTAGAGGGGTTAAATAACTTGCACCAGGCCATGTAGCGTTGGAACAAGCTAACCCCAGCGGCCGTGCTCTGAACCCCTGCACCAGGCAGGAACAGCCCCCAAAGAGGCACTGGTGGCACGTCAGCATGGCTGTGCCAGGCCTGGCCAGGCTGAGGATAAACGGTTTGGGAGGGGCCAGCCCTGGCTTTCCCTCGTGCACGTGATCCCACTGCTCAAGCGTGGCTGCCACTGGGAAGCGAGGGGCCATAAACAGGACACGACCGAAGGCTGTTCTGCTGTCACAGACCACGCCAGGGGTCGTAGTCCAGGTCCTCGGGGAAGAGATGCCAAGACAGGACTAGATGTGAAAGAGATTTACTGGTGATAACACCAGCAAAGAATAAGGGGCGCTAAAGAAGTTAGAGACAGCCCTTAGACAGAGATGCAGGTCAGACACCTGTGAAGGAGAGCAGGCAGGAAAGAGGAAGACATTGAAAAGTCTTGGACTTCCTCACGGTTCCTGGAATGTTCTGGCAAGGGAAATGGGGAATCCTCAAGCTGAAGTTTCTCGTTATCGCAGTCCTGTGTCTTCTAGGCATGAACCTGGGGATTAGCATCTCCACCCTGCTCTGTCACTAGCTGGGGTCAGTCTCTGCACAAAGATGAGGGAAGATCCAGAAAGGTGACAACTGGGACCATCATCAATTAGGCTCCCCATGGCAGCAGATTGAAGGCTGCATTTTCACAGCCACTCACACCACCTCCAGAGCGGGCATGTCACACCAGTTACTCCAGTTATCCCAGCACAGTATTCCTTGTGGGCAGTATTAACACAGCTGACATTTAGAGAGCACCTTCCCTTTCCCCTTCATCATCTAGAATGGTGCTCTCTGGGTGGGGCTGGAGTGCTCCCGTGCAGGACCCCCTGCCTTAGCATCATCCGGGGGACCTGAGCCCAGAAGCGCAGAATGAGAATCTCTGGGGTTGGGCCCAGGATTCTGCAGTTCCAGCATGTTCCTTAAATGCTTGTACACATGCTGGAACCACTAGTTTTCTGTTAATTTTACTACAGTCATCTCCATTTTACCAGGGAGGAGACTGAAGCTCAAAGAGATCCCAGCAGCGTGGGGAGCCCAGCTGCAAAGGGCCAAGGAAGGGGGGTCCTCCTGGAAAGTGAGGTGGCAGATTTTAGAAGGTGAGGTCAGGAGACACTGAGGAGCACCAGTTATATTCAGTGTATATGGTCTGTCTCCCCCAAGGAGAATGTCAGCCTCAGGACAAAATTTGTGTCTCTTTTGCTCAATGAGGTATCCCTAGAGCCTAGCACAGTGCCTGCCGCACAGCTGGTGCTCAATATTTGCCAAGGGAAGGCATGGTACATCTGATAGAGTGTGCTTGTCTGGAGAGGACAGTGGCAAGGGGCCAGATCTGAGACAACACTTAGGACCCCATTGTCATGTGCAGTCAGATGGCTTTATTTGCCAAGGATCCAAAAACACGAGGAGGCAAACAAGAGACCAAGGATGGGTGTTCAGTATCCAGGGCTCAGAGTTCCCTGCTGTGTGCTCAGTGCTTGGAACAGTGTCTGGCATACAATAGGTGCTCACAAAATATTTGTTTGGGAAAAAAAGGAAAGAGAGAGGTTGCCTGGGTGGCTCAGATGGTTAAGCATCTGTCTTTGGCTCAGGTCATGATCTTGGGGTCCTGGGATCGAGTCCCACATCGGGCTCCCTGCTCAGTGGGTGTCTGCTTCTCCCTCTCCCTTTCCCTCTGTACTCTCCATCTCTCTCTCAAATAACTAAAATCCTTAAAAAAGAGAGAGAGAGAAGAGGAAGAGAAGGGAGAGGCTGGGGGAAAGAGAGGGAGACTTCTAGGCTACCACCCTGGAGTCCACTGAATCCCCTGCAGCCCTCCCTGTCTGCCTGTTCCCAACTCAGATTCCCTGCTCCCTTGCCTTCTGTCAGGATCCCTAGCTCACAGCTCCATAAGTGAATATGCCTTTATTTATTTCTGTGTGTGTGTCCCCATGTGTGTCTGTGGAATCACTGCGTTCACTGTGGGGGTGGGGGCGTGGGCATATAAACTAGTGTAATAACCAGTATGAACCAATTCTAGGAAATAATTCTAGGTCTCACCAGCTTAGGACTACAAAATGAGGTCACATTAATTTTTAAAGTGTGACTCCATGCGTTCACCAACTCAGAAGCTCTCCAAGTCTGTTCTTTTGAGATTTTATGGAAGTTTCATCATGTAGGCATGATCAATCATTAACTCCATTTTTCAGCCCCTCTCCCTTCAAGAGAATGGGGGGCAGGGCTGAAAAATCCAAGCTTCCAATCATGGCTTGGCCTTCTTGGTGACCAGCCCTCATCCAGGAGCCATCCAGGAACCCACCCAGAGTGACCTCATTAGAACATAAGACACTCTTATCAACCAAGAATTTACAAGGGTTTCAGGAGCCCTGTGTTGGGAACTGAGGCCAAAGACCAAATATTAGAACTAAAGATGCTCCTAGTGCTCTTATAATGTAGAAAATTACAGGGAGCTCTGGGACAGGAACCAAGGACAGAGACCAATATATATATTTTTCTATTATCTTACACCTAGTCTCATCCTCACCACAGCCTTCAAGATAGGCATTATTGGTTCCAAAGTACATTAGCCCTCAATAACCTGAGGCTCAGAGGGGTAACTATCATGCCCAGGAGCAGTGCCAGGTGTCAGTGGCAGGTCTTTCTGCAAAACAGCACAGAATGTGCCTTTTCTTAGGTCTAATTACCCCATTCCTGCAAGAAGGAAAACATGCATGCCTTCAAAGGGGGCCTTCCTCCCAGTTTCCTGGATTCAGGACTGGTGTGAAATAAGGGACACCAGAAAGCACATCTCAACTCAAAATGTTGCCTTCACTAGAGCAGTCTCCAGTAGACATCATCCTGCTGGAGATTCATTTGTTTGCTGAAAGTCATGTTTCCCAATTTCATTCATTCACTGCCACCTTCCCTATTATTGCCATGTCCACCTACCACCTGTGCTTACATGTCTTTCAAATTTTCATTTAAATAAGCTTTCATAAAGGTACTTTAGTAGGACAGTTTATATCAAAAAGAAGACATAAGACTAGCTCCTGAAGTGGTCTGACAAGCAGACTGTGTCACCTCCATCTGCTGGCATTAGCAATGGGAGATGGTTGTCCATATACCACCCAAAATGAGGCGACACCCTGGTTTGAAGCATGGCCCTCTATTCAAAGCACAAACCTCTATCCACAGCTCTGTAGCTCAGGAGAAACCATAGGGTTCTTTATTGGACTCTGTCCCAATCTTCGGACAACCTCATTTTTGACTCACGTTCTTTGGATGTTAGAGTTGAAAGTCCATGGGCGCTAAGCCCAGAGACTCTGAGAGTGGACACTTGCCTGAGACCGCCCCGCCTGTACAGATGATGATATGGAAAAACAAAAGGTTAAGTAGGACCCTTAAGTGGGGCAGGTGTAACCAAGCACAGTATGGAGAGAGAAGTCCCAATCGTGGCCCAGGGATTGGGTGGGGTGCCTTTGGTGTCAGAGGAAGAGGAGGCTCTCTAAGGAGAAGAGGGATGCTGAGAGGAGAGTGAAGATTCTGTCCATTTCACAGTCTGACCTGGCCTCCGTTCTGCCCCTCCCTATGCCTGCCCCCAAATCCACATTTGAAGGCCTGACTTCACCTCATACTTGTGGAGGTGAACAGAGGGCACAGGCTTCTGCCATCGCCATGGAACTCTTGGGTTTCATTTTAGCCTTGTCTAAGGAAAACTTTCTAACTACAGCTAACAGTTGTAGTGTGATAGGACTGAAGACACATAGCCTGGGTTTAAACCGCAGCTCCTTCTCACCTAGATGTGTGACCTTGGACAGATGGCAGCTTCTCGGAGCCCAGTTACTTCATCTGTTAACGGGTCCTGATGGGCAGCTCTTTCTTCCTCTTCTTTTTCCTTCTCCAAATGGGAAGAGTCTACCCTACTCCCCAGGTGTCACTTCTCCCAATCCCCAAACCCTAAGGATGAAAAATGATGGCTGGGCT